GGAAAATTCTATGCATAAGTATCTAATACAAATTTTGTTTCATATACAAAATTATTTGAAAATGTTTAAATTTACCTTCAGGCTATGTGTACATGGTGAATATAAAACATCAATAAATGCTGTGTTTAGGCTTCGATTCCATTCCCAAGATTCTCATTATGTATATGCAATTATTCTCAGATTTAAAAGTCTGAAATCTGAAACACTTTTGGTCCCAAGCATTTCAGTCAGTTCTTCTTACTGGACTATAATCTACTGCATTCATTCCAGTTTGTCAAACTCCAGCTGAAACACCTCCTCCTCAATGAAGCCTGGTCTCTCCAACTAGGGTTAGATGCTTTCTCATTTATGCCTACACGGGAAAAGTAAGTACACTCCAGGTATTACACTAAATGCTCTTTGTCATTTATTTCTCACAACAGTCCCATGAAAAAGCTATTACTATCCTAATTTTACATACAAGAAACTGAGGTTCTAAATAATTAATTTACACATAGTCCTTGCTCATAGCAGCGCCAAGATTTGTTCCTAGGGTTATTTGACTCCAAAGTCACTGATCTTCTCACTAATTTGCTTGCCTTCCCATTATAACACTTCACACACAGCTGAACCCATATTGGGCAGATCTTGTATTTTAAAAACTAAATTTTTAAAAAATCTGCATTTTTGCCTCCATCATTAATTCTTTCTTTTTTCTCTATGTGCTTATTCATTCAACATTAGACACTGATTGTCTGCTACACACTGGCATATAATTGTGTATCGGTTCTTCCAGAGCTGATATTCTAGTGGGGGAGGCAGATACCAATCAAATGTGCCATGTGAAAATTCCTTCAGATTATTTGTCTCTTGCTCCAGGTAGGAGCAAATGAATAAAAAGGAAAAAAAAAAAAAAAAAAAAAAAAAAGATGGCTTTGAAGGCAGGCCGCTTGATACATTTCCCAAAAGAAAATTAAAGTCAAGTCCAGAAGCCAACAGCAGGCCTTGTCAATTACATTTCAACCAGAAGACATTCACTCTTTTGCAAGTATACCACATTGGACATTTCAAAATTCAGGAGGTAAAGAAGAAGTAACCATATTATTTTCCACAGAGAATTTCATATAAACTCAAAAGCAATGCTATTAGAGATTATTAAGTAATGGACAATATAAACAAGGAGTTGAGATTTTTATGGGAAATGGAGAATGAAAAAAAAAAAAAAAAAAAACCTCTGGGATTAAAGACTTCCTTACTTGAAAGATACATAAGATACATTAACACATAGCTAAATGACAAAGCAGATGGTGCACAAGTGTCAGCATATCCGTCAAAGATTCATAAAAAAGGTTCTAATCAATTACTTTAAGTTCTATGCTAGGAATTATGAGGAATGCAAAGAAGTCTCACCCCCAACCTCTAATCTCATAAAACTACAGCCTGGCTTGCAAGATGGAACAAGATGCATGCATTCTACAAACACGTACTCTGCCTCAGGCAGGTCACCAGACATCTCAGATCAAAAGGGGAGCTAAGGCAGCTTCTACCCTCCAGAAATTTACAGTTGATGTGGAGAAAAATCCCTACAAACACACACGGATGTTTTAGTTCTTTAATACAGAATAACTACAAAAATAGTTACCATTCCTTGAGCCCCTTCCAGGATCTACATGTGCCCCTGGCATATTCACAACAACCCATTAAAGTAGATATGCTCATGTCACTGTCATTGTAAAAATAGTCTAGCTGGCTGGTTGTGGTGGCTCATGCCTATAATCCCACCACTTTGGGAGGCTGAGGCAGGCAGATCACAAGGTCAGGAGATCAAGACCATCCCGGCCAACATGGCGAAACCCCATCTCTACTAAAAATACAAAAATTAGCCAGGCGTGGCGGCGCGTGCCTGTAGTCCCAGCTGCTTGGGAGGCTGAAGCAGAAAGATTGCTTGAACCCGGGAGGCAGAGGCTGCAGTGAGCTGAGATCGCGCCACTGCACTCCAGCCTGGGCAACAGAGACTCTGTCCAAAAAATAAACAAATAAATAAGTCTAGCTGAGGTTCAAGGGAGGCTATGTGTTTTGCCTCAAGCCACACAGCTAGCGCAGGTATTACAACTCACACTTAACAGATTCCAAAGTTCAAGGTTTCTTCTACGTGCCCCGGGTTTCATGCCACGTCCCACAGAGGATTTTAACAAATCCATCTTAGTTGTATACATTTTCATTTACTTTGGGAATGATTGTGTCTTTTAAAGTTTAATTTAAAATGTAAATAAATTTCAGGTGCAATATTTCATCTCAGCTGATTATCACTAACGGAAGAGAGCTACTTCAAGTTGGACAATGGAAACCTTATTTTGCTTTAGTCTCCTGCATAACCACCACTAGATGGCGGTACCTACACAGTTATTCTAAGGCCAGCAGGGAACATGGTCTCCTTTTCAGCAAGCGGTTGGCTTCACAAAAAGTACTTCTTTTAAAAATCTAAATTCTGTATTATTATTAGGTACAGCAACTGGGTCACAAAGGGATGGAGGTTTAAGACTACGTAACGTCTTTGCTACCTCTGTGTGAAGAACAGCACATGTCTTTCCTAGTTAGCTCATCGTCAAGACATTGAAAGGTTCTTATATCGTTTCCTAAAACAAAGCATAAACAAAAGATTTAATGTCTGTGTAGATCATTGTTTTTATGCCAATAAAAGGCAAGATGTTTGTGCTTGCTCTTACAAGGAAGAAATCAAAGGAGGCAGAACCTTATGTTATTCCTTCTAGTTAAATAAATACGATGTCTAAGGCAACCCACCCAAACTGGGCCTTCAAAACTATTACTTATGTAAATGAACATCAGATTCAGTTTGCGTTTGTTTTAAAGGAAATTGATTTGAATAGGAACTCAGAACTGAAGTCCGGTTTCTTCCCATTTTCCATCTTCATATACATTTGACAGTAGGAAAAGCATGGAAATGTTATTTTGGTTATGAAACTGCCATGAAAATCTGCCTCAGCATGTCACTTAACGGAAAGAGCTCCAGGCAAAGCCATTATGTGGATGGGCAAATGAGAGGAGGCTGGGAAGAAATCGCATACTGCTTGCATGAGTATTAAGTTTAAGCCATGAGAAGAGAGAATGAGAGGCTGGAAGAAGAAATAAAAATGATCCAAACTAAGCACTGTGCTGCTCAGTAGCACAGTAGCCATTGAACAGTCATTCCGTGATAAGTGTGTACAATCCTTAAAACATTTTCGAAATTACTTACGATTAAAAACATATTTCATCAATGCTGGAAATCTAAGCAAACACTTTAACTACACACACTCATTGTATCCTGTGTTTAGAGGATGTTACAGAGTACACTCAAATTTCACATACACCAGAATAGGAGAGGAATTTCAAAAGCTTTAGAGGTGGGACTTCCCTTTCCAAAACCTCACGTTATGACAACTTATGTTCCACTCCTCAGCTTTAAATTTTTTAAAAATTTAATTCCCAGGACAAGTTTTGTATTATAATTCGATTTGAATATAAAATAGAAAACACATTAAGAAAAAAAAGAGAGAACTTTTAATTACCAGAAGAGGGCGCTATCCTCAAACTTAAAACTTCCACACTCACCTGCTAAAGTACCTTTGCAGTTCTGAAAGATGCTTCAGCATAATCCAGTTTAATCATTGCATTGTAATCTTAGAAAGAACCCTAACCATATCTTTGAAGGGTGGAATAACCAACTTGCACGATATCCTCATTTACAATACTCAGAGTAGCCATTATAAATCCAAGTTAATGACAACAGAAGCTGAAAAGGTATCATTCTGTCATAATTTATAACTTTAAAAAATCCTTAGCTGTTGCATTCACTCAACTGAAATGTGTGGCTCCTTTATTTGCTTGTGTGCACCACCAAAAAAAGCTCTATCTTGGAATACATCATTTTACAAAGATTGCTATTTTTCTTGGTATCTTAGTTTAAGGTGCAATAACAGGCTACTCTAGGCTAGGTGATTTATTAACACAGAAATGTATTCCTCACGGATCTGGAGTCTGGAAGGCCAAGGACAAATTGCCAGCATGGTTGGGTTCTGGTGAAGGCTGTCTTTGGGACTGCAGACTGCTGACTTCTCACTGTATACTCAGTGAGACTGGCGGATGGGGCAAGCAAGCTCTGGATTTGTATGTGTGTGTGTGTGTGAGCATTAATCTCATTCATGAGGGCTTCATCTTTATGTCTGAGTCACCTCCCAAAGGCTCCACCTCCTAATACCATCAGGAGGTATTAGAGGTTAGGATTTCAACACAGGAATTGCGCGGCAGAGGGTGGAGGGGACAGTCATTCTATAGCATTGGAGTAACTGAAAAATAAATCAGACAAGTGAGAGTTTGAAGAAGAAGAAGAAAAGGAGAAAGAATGGGAAGGGTGCTTCTTTTACAAATTCCTGTTCACTGCAGAAAACAAGACAAGAACAAGAATTCATGTGGGCAGAGGGGATGAACACAACCACGGGACTCACTCCAGTGAGTGGGATGTCCGTGTCCACACTCATCCTAATTACGAAGGTTGACTCTGCTCTTTCCTACTTTTATGGCTTTGAGTAGGTTCCTTAACATACTTTGTCTTTCCATTCCTCAGCTATAGAAAGCAAACAATAATAAGAACTACATCTCATGCCTGTAAATCCCAGCACTTTGGGAGGCCGGGGTGGGCGGATCACCTGAGGTCAGGAGTTCAAGACCAGCCTGGCCAATGTGTTGAAACCCTGTCTTTACTAAAAAATACAAAAATTAGCCAGGCATGGTGGTGCATGCCTGTAATCCCAGCTACTTGGGAGGCTGAGGCAGGAGAATCACTTGAACCCGGGAGACGGAGGTTGCAGTGAGCCGAGATCGCACCACTGTACTCCAGCCTGGTGACAGAATGAGACTCTGTCTCAAAAAACAAAAAGCAAAACAAAACAAAACAAACAAAAAAAACCAACTACCTCATAGGCACTCTTCATCCCTACACTCTCTCTATTTTTTCGAGACACTGCTTTCTGATTTTCTTGGCGGGAAGGGTTGGCTTGCTTAGATGCTTATTTATCTCTCTTGTTTCTCTCTCTCAATAGACCTTAAGTTTCACAAGCACATAGACCACATCTGTCTTATCCTTTCCCCTATTCCCAGGGTCTGGAATGTGGCAGGCCCACAACAAATTCTAGCTGAAGGAATCAGCAAAGGGGATGTTATGGAGCTCTGCCAAAATACTAACCCTGAACTCGACACATGGTCAGTCATGAGAATTTCCACTACACTCTGCTCCTGTGATGTTAATTTTTACATTTACCTTACACTAATAGCATATGATATAGATTTTGAAGTGTGTGCTAATGGCATAAAATTGTCTTCATATAATAAATGAAGTCAAAACTTACTGATTTAAAGAAAACTATTAAGTAAATAATAGAACAGATGCTGTGTGTAAATGTCAATACATGTGAAAGTGGTCATGGATAACAGAGGTTTGCAAAACTCACTAGGAGAATAAGCACAACAGAAGCCTGGCATCAAGAGTGAGGGTGGAGGTCGGAGGAAGTTTAAGGACTTGGTTTCATAGCTGGGCATTTCGGAGATGGCCGAGGCCAGCAGAGGGAAAAGCTGGGACTTCCCACATTGAGAGTGCACAGGGCTACAGACATACATTTGTATCCCCAGGTTTAACTACCTCTCTAACTTTATGGAGGAGAATCTCTGATTGTGAAGGGTTATGACTTACCAAACTACCCACTGTATGTCTTCCTGTAATGTTGAGAAGCATCCATAGTTTCCTATTTCTTTGAAAACACCAAACCTAGAAAATGACACATGACAGTCAAGGGCATTATTCTAAATATTCTAAATGCTCAGAGTATGTGAAAGAAATTTGGAAAGAATCCCCTGGCTCGGAGTCAACAGATGAGAGAAGGAAAGCTACTGCCTTAAGTGTTTAGGGGCAGAAATTTTCCATTCCTGAGAAGCAAACTGAGGTAAGGATGTTCAACATTCATGGGCAGTCCCAGTTTTTGTTGTACCATTAAAAAAACCAAAGCCTAAAATGAATGTTTAAGAAAAGAAATCTATCCATGTATCAATGGAAATTTGTATACCCATCAAATATAAAATAGTATCAGTTCTTCAGTAGGAATTATCATGAAACCTGTGCACCTTGACATGTTCTGGTTTCTTTAAGAAGACAAGTAGTTATTCTTTTTTGAGATGGAGTCTCGCTCTGTCACCCAGGCTGAAATGCAGTAGCACCATCTTGGCTCACTGCAACCTTGCAACCTCCACCTCCCAGCCTCAAGCAATTCTCCTGCCTCAGCCTCCCCAGTAGCTAGAATTACAGGCATGTACCACCATGCCCGGCTAATTTTTGTATTTTTAGTACAGACAAGATTTCACCATGTTGGCCAGGCTGGTCTTGAACTCCTGACCTCAAGTGATCCACCCGCCTCGACCTCCCAAATTGCTGGAATTACAGGTGTGAATCACCATGACTGGCCTGACAAGTAGTTTTTCAATAAGAGAAAAACAAAATAAAATTCAAACACATATCTTATGATTTAAGAGGCAGAGTTTGGAAAAGAAAATAAAAAATACCACCTGAATCCTTTTTTTATATTAAAATATTAAATTCCATTTAATCATACAAAATCTGCCCATAAAAATTGTCTTCCAGGTCTGGGCCCAATTGCCACTTAAGGAAAAAATACATAAAATATACCACAGGGGAAGATAACATTGATTGGATTATCTCAGATTTCACTTAATTTTATCCTGTCAGGGGCCACTTACTCATAAACTGCCTAATTGAATGGGTTCATTTTCAATCAATTGTTTTGTCTCATGAAAATATATACCTAGTAGACAGCATGAGCACTGACAGCTTCCTGAAGGCATCTGAGTACGTACAGCAAAAACTGCAACATGATGGATGCCTTAAATACCGGGTTGCCCTCTGGGAAGGCTTTCACCTACAATTCTTGGGGAGGCTCGGAGAATCTGAGACCCTGGCTTAAAAACTCAAACTGAGACAACGGGGTGTGGTGGCTCACACCTGTAATCCTAGTACTTTGGGAGGCCGAGGTGGGCAGGTTGCCTGAGGTCAACAGTTTGCGAACATCCTGAAACCCCATCTCTACTAAAAATACAAAACATTAGCCGGGCGTGGTGGCGTGCACCTGTAATCCCAGCTACTCGGGAGGCTGAAGCAGAGGAACTGCTTGAACCAGGCAGGCGGAGGTTGCAGTGAGTTGAGATTGCACCACTGCATTCCAGCATGGGTGACAGAAGGAGATTGTCTCAAAACAAACAAACAAACAAACAATCAAAAATCTCACTGAGACCTGAAGTTCCCTTCGTCTCTCCAGCCAAACCCATGATTACCCTCAAGTACTCAGCAAGTAGGCCTGTGGTCCTTGCTAGAGACTGAATTTTCAGTTCCCCCAAAATTAAAAGCCCTAACTCACCCATACCTCAAAATGAGATTGTATTCGGAGACAGGAGCTTTAAGGAAGTGATGAAGTTCAAATGAGGCCACTGGGATGAGCACTGTTTCAGTCCGACTGGTGTCCTTCTAAGAAGCAGAAATTAGGACACAAAAGTAGACATCAGGGAAGCGTGTGCACAGAAGAAAGGCAGTGTGAGGACGTGGAGAGTAGCGTAGTCAAAAAGCAAGGCCTTAGAAGAAACCAAACCCGGGGACGCCTTGATCTTGGACTTCCAGCCTGCGGAACTGTGAGGAAAACGTCTGTTGCGTAAGCCACCCAGTCTGTGGTATTTTGTTATGGCAGACCCAGCAATCTAGTACAGTTCTCAAAGGGAAAACTGCCTGATAAATCACCCTGTGTAATGTCTATGAGCAAAGTGATACTAATATAGAATCTTACTTTTCAGACACGGAAAAACTTTAAAACAAATAGGTCAGGTAGGATTTGTGTAAGTAAGTGAAAATTCCACATGAACTTGAAATATTCTTCTCATTGGAATTGTCTGTCTGTTTCGGATGCCATTTATATGGGACATCTCACACAATATTTTTTTTCTGTTGCTTTCTGAGTTGATTTTCTTAAATATAAATTAGTAAAAAGAGATGCAAGGGTATATTATATAATCTCTGGTAAATCTGCAACTGAAACACACTCTCTTTTTTTTAAAAAAAAATGGCCCCGTGTGGTGACTCACACCTATAATCCCAGCACTTTGGGAGGCTGAGGCAGGTGGATCACCTGAGGCCAGGAGTGCAAGACCAGACTGGCCAACACACGGTGAGAACCTGTCTCTTCTAAAAAAGGAAAAATTAGCCAGGTCCGGTGGCGCTTGCCTGTAATCCCAGCTACTAGGGAGGCTGAAGCAAGAGAATCACTTGAACCCAGGAGGCGGAGGGAGCAGCGAGCTGAGATTGTGCCACAGCACTCCAGCCTGAGCTACAGAGTAAGACTCTGTCTCAATAAATAAATAAAAATTAAAACAAACCCTAATAACATGGAGAGCGCTGTGGTTTAGTTCTTATATAATATCACATTACACTATTTTAAAGCTAGTTTTGTTCTTTACTCTGATTTCTCACGGAATGTTACAGAAATTGGTTCACATGGCCTGTAGTGTACTTCTTACATAATTTTTTCTCTTTCTCAATGATCTATAGCACAGGTTCTCTCCAATCTTTCATTCTCCAGAACTCCCTCCCTACATGAGCTTTCTCCACTCCCTGTAAGTCCAAGCCTTCCCCATTTCTTCCAACTCTTCATGGTGTTGACCGGCGTGACCTCTTCCAGTGAGGTCTTTCCTACTCCAGACTGTCAGGCTTGGTCCTTCTCTGTCTGATCTCTGGCATCTCAAAATCCAGGACTCTCTCTGGTCATATAGACACACATCTTCGCTTAAGTTGCGTGAGAAAAAGATGTCTGAAATGAACCAGTTAAATTGAGAAATAAAATGCAGGATGGGCGTGGTGGTTCACGCCTATAATTCCAGCACTTTGGGACGCTGAGGTGGGAAGACTGCTTGAGCTCAGGAATTCGAGACCAGCCTGGGCAACATGGCAAAACCCTGTTTCTACCAGCCTGGGTGACAGAGCGAGACCTGAAAAAGAAAGGAAAGATAGAGAGAGAGAGAAAGAGAGAGAAAGAGATAAAGAGAGGGAGAAAGAGAGATAAAGAGAGGGAGAAAGAGAGAGAGAGAGAGACAGACAGAAAGAAAGAGCAAAGAGTCATTCTTTTAAGCTATTCTGCAATAGATTAAGAGAATGAGAAAAAAATAAGCTTTTAAGGTTTTTGGAGGTGATGTAGTTTGAAACTGAAGAAATACCTACTTTCAATTCCAGATTTCAGCTTTACATTTATAATTTCCTCAGAAACTATCTGAATGTTTTGTATTCTTGCACGCTTAGAAGGCATATGAAACAGAAAAGGTAAAAATAGTAAAAGCTACCCTGCTTCAAAATTATCAGTTCTTTCCGTGGGTTAAAAACTACTAATATATTTGGCTTATATATTTGGTATATCAATACTTTTCACCCATATATAATAAAATTCATTTCCAATCTTTGACTACATTATCAAAATGTTTTAATTAATTGACTATGAGCTGACATTTTCCTAGAAGAAATATCGATTTTACATAACAGTCCATCCAGGAAAAAAAAGGAAAAATAAAAAAAACCTCTATAATTTCAACTTTTTTATTCTTGAAAGTATGAGCATACCAAGAATTTGGTACTTTAATGATATACCATTAATAATAATAAGAGGTGCTATTTACAGAGCTCTTACTAGGCACCATGTTAAGTGCTTTCCAAGAAGAATTTTCTGTAGTATTCGCAACAATCTAATGAAGAAGGCACATTATTTTCCCTCTTTTACAGATGAGGTAACTGAGATTTAGAGAGGTGAACTTACCTGGCTGAGGTCTATTATCTCTAGTAAATGACAAAGCCAGAAATTGAATCTAGGTATGGGTAACTCCAAACACCACACTCAAACTTTTCTTTATATTACCAACATTTTAAAAGACTTCTCCAAATGCTAATCCTGGCTTATTGTATTAGCTTTCGTAATCTTTGACATTAATATTGGTCGAAAGCTATATGATACCTGTTTGTTGGAGGAAGGTAGAGGTAGTGACTGAGAAATTAGTACAACAGCACTCACTAAAATATTAATATATATTCACTTTCAAATTGCTTAGTGATGACTTTAACAGGTTAATAACAAGACAGTAAATATTTGTTGAATGTGCCAGGTGCAAGGGAGTTACAGAACTGGATAGGGATAAAGACTTCATGTTCAGGCCTTTAGAACAGCAATGAAGACACACTTCTGAACTCTGGAAAGCTGTGATTTCTATGTCACATGTCAACCATTTAACAAATAAGTTTCCCTCCCTCCCTCTCCCTAGAACATAAGTTAGTAAACTACACTCCATGGAGTAAACTTGACACACTGCCTATATTTGTAAATAAATCTTATGACAACAAATCACATCCATTCATTTCCTTATTGTCTGTAGTTTCATTCATCCTACAGTGACAGAGTTGAATAGTTGTAAGTTGTATATGACTGCAAAGTTTAAAATTTCTACCATGGAGCTTACTATAGAAAATGCTTGCCAACCCCTCTATTCAATCTGTATAAGAATGTACTTAAAGATAATCTCTATATACAGCACACACCTTTGATAGCTAAGCTTATAGAAAGATCCTGAATATTCTCTAGCCTCCTGAGGAGAAATGAGTTCTTTCACCCTAAAAGTATCCATTCTATTGGTGTGTTAAAGAAATTACATTATCAGTGACCAAATTATTTAAATCAAGTTGGTACTACATTATTTCGAGACCACTGGGAAGTTTGGTTATGCTAAAGTTCTGTAACTGGCAGTTTTCATGGTTGATGTTATGGTTTTCAACTAAAATATTAAGAGATACTGAAGACTTGCTACAATTCATTGTTTTACATTTGCTTTCTTATTAGATTTGATTTGCTTTGCAAAAGGGCCTTTACCGTCATTTTCTTTCCTTTTCTAGCCAAAGTAAGGATTACAAAAATGAACCAAATCAGATCAATTCATATAGTAAAGTTACCAACATTTTTAAAGAACTAAAATAAAACAGTGACTCCCTAGGCAAAATACTTTCAAATAACATAGAAGTTTACAGTCAAAAGAAGCAAGTGAATTATTTGCCTTGAGACAACAACTCACTCCCCAATCATGTACATTTTCTGTTTTCAATGAATATTTTCTACTTTCATCATCATTCACATGATGATCTAAAAAGAAAGGACTGAGGCATTAATAAAACAGGACCTGGAGGAATTGAAGGAAAATCCAACACTACTTATATTAATATAGAATTCCTCATACAAACTCCTTCCCAAAATAAATTGCAGGTATAGCAGAATATAATATACTGCCAAACATAGCATGTAACCTTATGATGACGAACATAAACTCTCCCCAGGGCCTCAGGTAATCAAGCACACTATAGCTTCAAAAAGAGATTCTAGTCATAACATTTGCCAGCATTTCTCATGAGAAGTCTCTCCCGTCTTCTTTAGTCAAACTGGGGCCAACACTTTCATTACATTCATTCTCCAAGTCGGAAACTTTGCAAGGCACTGTGCAAGATTTTTTGACGGCATCTTCTCAGAAAAATCGAGTAAGGTTTTATGTCCATTTTACAGGTAAATAAGGGTTGGAGACTTTTAAATGTTTTCCCTCGGATGATTTAACTAGTGTGTGAGACAGAACATATTCTCACACCGGTTTTCATAGCTTCATGTCCAAAGCACTTTTATTACATAAGCAATAAAAGGTATTTTGACATGTAATTTTTTTAAATTTATGATAAAAGAGTCAAGAAATAAAAACAAACCTCTAAAATACATTGATACATGTAAAGCAGTAGATGAGACCCAGTTGAATTTAAAAATCACTGGTAATATGAAACCAGTGACAAACCTCTAGCTGTCAAAAGAGTGGCTTTGTGCCTGGCAAGAGAAAGAAGGGAAAGCGAGTTAGATGGGTGGGTATAGAAAGTGTGCCATGGATTTGGTACCAAAACAATACTAATTTGGGACACGCAAGTCATGACATACACCACCAAGTTGTGGAGGCAGGAGGAGGCATTATTCCTCACATCTGCCCAGAACACTGCTTGGAAAATAGTGGTAAATGACACATGAAAGATTTATTTTATTTTATTTTATTTTATTTTATTTTATTTTATTTTATTTTATTTTAATATTATTATTATTTTTTGAGATAGAGTCTTGCTCTGTCACCCAGGCTGGAGTGCAGTGGCACAATCTCAGCTCACTGCAACCTCCGCCTCCTGGGTTCAAGCAATTCTCCTGTCTTGGCCTCCCAAGTAGCTAGGACTACAGGCACCCGCCACCATGCCCGGCTAATTGAAGAATTTTTGTTTTTTTACAGCTGCACAGCACCAGGATATAGCTACTGGGCTAAGAAGCAGTGCCTTCTTAAGACAGTGCCGTAATAAAACATCCTTCTTAAGAGCTATACAGACAGAAGTCATCAAGAAAAAAAAAATAGTAGTAAAGGGATAGAGAACACCAACAGAATTCAGGTAATTTTTTTTAAAAATAATAATTTTAGGTGGGGTGCATAGGGTAGGGCACAGAAGGGGCTAAGATCCTGAAGTTCTTCATGGGAGAGAAAATGTTTAATGAGAACAGGAATTAATATTATTAATATTATTCAATTTATCTTTACCCCAGGCTACTGAGACTGAAGTGTGGACTGTTACCTGTCTTACAAATCAAAACCACAGTATTTGACCACTATGCCAGGAATGTTAAAATCTGACTTTCTCCAACAACAAGTGAACATTTCAATTTTTAACATCTTAATATTTAGTATGAATAGTATTTTTCACTTAGGATATTTAGTATTTAATAGACCTTCCATATCTTATCTCATTTACTAATCCTGAAAACCTTAGGCCTGCACTAATATTATCCTCACTTTACAAGGAACCAAAATTCATCGTCTCTCTGCCTCCCTTATGTTGCTTTGCAGTTTGGGGAGCATAGTTTTTGTTTTTGTTTCCCTAAATAAAGGTTGGTGCCTCTAAGGTAATCAGGGTAAGAATTTTTTTATTTCCATATTGCAGATAAGAAAACAAAGGTCAAAAAATAATAAAGTATTTAAAGAAATGTACATAAGAATAGAAAAAGATCTGGGGCTAACACCAGGTTTCCTGACTCCTGGACTG